TATACATTATATACATTATATACATTATATACGTTATGCAATTTAATCAATTTATTTTATTTTAATAATCTTTAATCAACATTACAGAAATATTACAGTTTCAGTTATGTAACTTAATATTTATTTATTTTATTTCTTGAAAAATTTTTCACGGTTTTCTCACCAATATTATTAAATAAAATAATGTAATCTTATAAATTAAGAAAGAAGAGTCCATATAAAATTGCATTTGATTTATGCTTTTATAGACTTTCATAAAGAAATATCTAAGATAATTTTATTATTATTATTACAGTTATATTTTGTATGTTGTACGCATACATATAACATGGAATAGAACCCAACAATATACATGACCCACATGACACGGAAGTCGAAGACTGTATTACTCGCCGGAAATATACGTAACATTATAGTTCTATGTGCACGTTATGTACAAAGAGAGGCGCTAGTAGACGAGTTCCATTTAAAAGGCGGGCTCGAAGTGCTCGAACCAGACATTATACGCGCGTGCAAAACAGTGTTTATTCCGAAATATGTCAGCCGGTTCTTGATGTTCGGTTTCAACGCGAAATAACGCGAAAGATAAATCATGATTATGATCGAGCGACGCCCACTACGGAAGCGATTCTTATAAGACGGTATATGAGCGAGTCGATTTATCGTAAACACTGGAATTCGTGCGTCCAGTCGTTTAGGTTATCTCCCTCATCGTCGTTCGGATTTCTCTCTTCTTTCCTTTTCTCTTTTTTTTTTCCTTTAAATGGAAGAAACCGCGCCTAATTCACCAAAATCACAATTAGGAGAAAACAGTTGCGTTAACGAGTCAAATGTTGATACGATCTACAGTGACAATAACACGGAACGTCATGGGGAGTGCACGCCGCAACAATCCGAGAAATGCATCAACAATTCTATTTTCAATACCATTTCCAAGATCGTTAATCCCACCACAAAGGTAAACTTTTCTTTTTTATCTCTAAAAGGTTATTTTTAGCTGGACATTTCTTTGAAACAATTCTGTAAAGAACTTCACTCAAAATTGCGTTAAAAGGTGCTCATTCCTAACCTATATAATTTGTACATGAGTAAAATGTATAATTTTGGAAGTAAACAGAACATATTTCGGAATAAAATTATCTTGGACATTTCTTGATGAAGGCCTAAAGGCATAAATCTTTTTAAATGTAATTTTATACTGACTCTTCTTTTTGGATTTATTATTATATAATTTTATTTAAACCTTAAGAAATAATATATAAATATAATATAGAAATAATATAATAATTGGTAAGAAAACTAAACATATTTTTAAAAATGTGATAAATAAATATTAAGTTGCGTAAATGAAATATGTATTTTTTTTGTAATGTTGATTAAGGACTATTAAAATAAGATAAATTGATTACATTACACTGATACAATGCATATAAATATATTGTTTATATTGCAATACATAACTTATCCAGTCACAATCTTTTTCATAAAGAAATACATGCTTTAATTTATATATTTCATTTCTTCTTTTTTTTTGCTAGGTACCAGATATACAGGATTTTAAGATAGTTAAGCCGATAAGTAGAGGAGCATTTGGTAAAGTATTTTTAGGTTACAAGAAAACCAATCCTGAACAGATATACGCAATTAAAGTAATGAAGAAGAACGAGATGATAAATAAAAATATGGCATCGCAAGTGGTAATTGAGCGCAATGCGTTAGCTCTGACTCGTAGTCCATATTGCGTGCAACTCTTTTATTCGCTGCAGTCCATCAGCAGCGTGTATCTAGTCATGGAGTACATGGTGGGCGGCGATCTCAAGAGTCTACTTGGCGTTTATGGTTTTATGGAGGAATCCATGGCGGCATTTTACACGGCGGAAGTTTGCCTAGCGCTTGAATATCTTCACTCGCACGGTATTGTGCACAGGGATCTCAAACCAGACAACATGCTTCTCTCACGCGAAGGACACGTCAAGCTTACGGACTTCGGACTCAGTCAGATATCATCATTTCACAGGGATCTCGAAATATCAGATCTAATGAATCCTTTGACTCCCAGCTTGTGCACTAGGACGCCTGGCCAGCTGCTTTCACTAACATCTCATCTGTCTTTTGGTTCTGGTCAAAAATCTACCAACGAATCGATTGTCAGTGACAGGAGCACACCAGCCATGAATTTACTTTCTGCTTTGCAAAGAAATTGCAATCTTAAATCCGCAGAGCATATGTCGCCGAATTCGGTCATATCCTCTGTCGCGTCCGGAGATTATTCTCGAATATCTGGCGTTACACCTTTTCAATCGGCGGAGGATTTGCGCTTCGAGCAAAGTAACGAGGAACAAAGTACAGAAGAGGAGGACGGCACCATTGAAAAGCGCGATGGTCTGGATAGCTCTAGTAGTTATCACACCTGCGAGGCATCTTCTAGCACACAAACAAATAATCATACCGATCAGAATGCAGAAGAGGAAGGAGAAGAAGAGAAAGACGAATCTACGCTCGAGGCCGAACAATCGCAGCATCGGTCTCTTGGACATACTAGTCCTGTAAGCACTTGCACGAATTCATTCATGATTCGAGGATCAAAGAAAAGAAAGCGAGACTGCGCAAGTGCAACAACGGGATTAACGTGTGAGATCGACGCGATAGACCTGGATGTCGTTAAGACACCCAAAAGAAGCAACCGTGACTCTATATTTCCTGACACGAGTCCAACAATTAACGTTGTTTCCACAAAAGCAGCGGATATCATTGCTGGTTTAGCGGAAAACGATGGGAACAAGACACCGAATCAGGACACCGAGCAGAATACTGGATCTACGGGTAGAGTAGCTTTTAGCACACCAGTATCCTCCGCTAGGCAAAGAGATCGCAATGAGAAGCAGCAAAAGTACCAGGAAGAGGATGACGCGAGAATTTTGATTAAGACGAGATTTCGCTTACCATCCACTTCGCATTCCACTCATGATCCGCACACGGATTCGGACAACACGTCCGAGGGTCATCGATCGCCCCAGGGTATTTCGCCCATCAAAACACCCGCGACGTCGGGCAACTGTTACACGCCCTATAGAACACCCAAGTCCGTTAGACGGGGCGGCCAGGGTGGCGCCAACAGATCAGACGACCGCATACTCGGCACGCCCGATTACCTCGCCCCGGAATTGTTGCTTAAACAGGGTCACGGACCGGCCGTTGACTGGTGGGCATTAGGCGTCTGTCTGTACGAATTCTGCACGGGCTTGCCGCCGTTCAATGACGAAACGCCGCAAGCAGTATTCGCGAACATTCTTGCACGCGATGTTCCATGGCCCGAGGATGAGGAGGCACTATCGTCGGCAGCGACCGATGCTATCGACGCATTGCTCACCTTGGATCAAACTTCTCGTCCCACAGCGAGGGAGGTGCGTACCATGACTCTCTTCTGCGACTTCCCCTGGGACGAATCGTTGAAAGCGGTACCCCCGTTCATTCCGCAGCCGGACGATAAGTATGATACGTGCTATTTTCAGAGTACGTCGCCCCGGTATTATATAATATCGTTGTCGTTTTAAAAACAATACCGTAAAATATGAGAATTAAAATTTCAAGTGTACGTAAAACAGTTTCTATATTATCAAAATGCAAATTGGAAATGTCTAAATAGATTTATCAATATGTAATTGTTAGAATGCGAAAAGCATTACCATTATATTTAACGTTAAGATCACTGCTGAATAAGATTTCGAATATTTCAGAGCCTTACAGTTTCTTATTATAGAGAAAGATATATATTATAACTGTATTTTCAACACTATTATTACGCGGTATTATTTTTTCTTAAACGACATTAAAGCATTAATAATAGTATTGGCGGTTAACAGGAGAATTTTTTTTTCTTTTTTTCCAGCGCGGAATACTATGCAGCAATTGAATGTTAGTAATTGCGATACATAGTCTTCGGCGTATCGTGTGCAGACGTGGCAGAAACAGAAGCCTATAATATCGAAATCGTTACTATATATAAATTTATTTTTTATATACTTGTGTATATGTATAGCAATATAAAATAGAAAATATTTTGTTACTACTCGTAATCATCGAGTTTGTTGATCTCTACAGTAGATGGATGATGATGATTTTATTTAATGATGAGAGAACGTACACAGAGAGCGCGATGATATGAAACTTAAAATAGAATGTCGCGTAATTAAAAAAAAAAAAGATCGACATAGTATAAAATTTTCTTAGAGAGGCGATTTGTTTTCGCTTTCAACTACGAAAACCGATATTTTTAATATCGCTATTTGTTAAGGCTTGACGATTTTTATCACATTTTTCAAAGCGAGTGTGATAGATTTCGCGTTTCTTCAGCAATCCCTCTCGTCGAAGAAACAGCGAAAAGGGACATGACGGTAAATATGAGCGTGTTTTCTACTTTAAATTCTTATAAATCCATGGCAAAAAGTGTGTCACTCTTGTGTACACGCCTGGATATTGTCCTTTTCCACATCCTATGCCCCAGGATACAATGCCAACTTGTGTCCAGCGACCATCGTTCACCATTAAAGGTCCTCCACTGTCGCCCTACAAATCACAATGTCATTAATTCTTATATAAAATTTGATAATAAATTTAAGTATATATTTACATCCCGCAAAATAAGTCCGTATCTGAACTTCCGATTTTCTTACAAACTCAATTTTTTGCCCAACTGAATCCATATTTCTTAGTATATATTAATTGATTAATAAATACTGGTCGTATTCGAGTTATGAACAACGAATCATACTTGATTTTAAAACAATGTGAAATCAATATATAGATACAAACCGAGCATGAATCTTTAGCGGCTCGACCAGCGCACAGGAAACTGTCAACTATACCACCTGGTGCCGCTGTACCATATTTCAGTTTACACTCGCTGTTCGACCACACTGGTATTGAAACTTCTTGCAAAATCGCTGGTTGTGGCCCACCTAATTGAGTAATATAATAAATTACTATTAGTGTATTCTGCCTACGAGTATATTTTCTAAGAGATGTTCTTAAATATTCTTGAATAGCCGCGTTACGAATAACTATTTGAAAAATTGATAAACAAGAATATTTAAGAGAGTATATAAATGTTAATTACACACTTTTTCATTTTAATTCAAAGTAAAAATATTGTCCTTGATGCGACTATTCGCGCGAGTTAAAGACGTGTTAATGCGTAAAAATATTCCTACTTTCTCTCAAAGAACCCCATCCAATGACGGTCGCAGTCTTGCCGGAATACAATTGCGATCCGCTAGGAAGACAGATAGGTCGTATTTGTTCGGTAAATTCCACGGGCTCGCTTAGCGTAAGAAGTGCCACGTCGTTGTAGAGCGTACGGGAGTTGAAGCCTCGATGTCTCACGACTCTCTTCACGCGTCTCTCGATGTGACGAATCTCGGTATTCGTTTTAATGTTGTGGTCACCGAGGCGTACTGTCAACCTCGCAACGTCCCAAGAGTTCATACTGGGAATATAGTACATTTTTTTTGTTAGATATTTCAAAATTCTTCTAATTTAATTATTTATTTTAATTATTTATAATTAATTGCAAGGAATTATATCAACATAGTACATGTATATTAATAGTAGAAAAATAGTTTTAGACCTTATGTTATTTTGGTTTTTAATTTGCGGAATAAAATAAATTGATAAATTGGACTCACTTTGCGACGCAGTGCGCCGCCGTCAGTATGTGCGTGTTATCAATGAGCGATCCGCCGCAGAATTGTCGTCCAGCGTTGAACATCGCGGCGATCCATGGCCATTCGCCCGGGTCTGCATTTTTCCCTCCTACGATACGCTCTTGATCCTGATTGCCGTTCTTGGCACCGCACTCCGAGAGATTGGCACTGTTGATTGGAGACTTGCTGGTCGTCGACGTGGACGTCGACGAGGTGGTCCACCAGCCCGGCTTCTTCGTCGGCCACGTGGTGGCGACGCTAGGTCTTTTGGAGTTCGTGCTACTTGGTTGCGACGTAGTTGAAACCGTCGGTAGACCAGGCGAAGGTGGATGAGTCGGAAGCGGCGGTATCGTGTGATCGGGCGGATGTGTGGGAATTGGCGGTGGCCAAGTAGGTGCAGCCTGAGGACGTGCTATCCCCGCGCTCTCGCTTTTCTTCTTATTGTCCTCCACCTAAAACCGATTTATAATTTAATTTCGTTCAATTATTAAATAACGCGAAAACAGAAAAGAAAGACTCTCAGTGATAGAAGAAAGGAATGATCATGGTATTACGCCCGACAAAAGGAAGGAATGCGCGCGAGTACCGAGCAATAAAGCGCGGGCCGTAAAAAGGCCTTTTGTGAAATCGTATTGCCGAATCGACGCAGCAGGGATATAACTTTCTAATAGGATCTAATGGGCTTTAATTCAGATCACGTATAATTTTTACGAGTTCTCGGTAGCGAAAGTGATTACCACGAATAGAACGGGAACGCGTGTGCGAATATGTATTAAGTTTTATGGAATTAGGTCGAATCGTTTAAATAACTCACACTCGTTTGGATGCCTTACCTGTGGATTATCCGCGGTAGGATTGTCGCAGTTATCAGGATCAGGGATCAAAGGATGTAGATTAGAGCAGCAGATCCCGAAGCTCGGGCTTCCATCCTCGCGGACATAACTGCATGTGTCATAAACGCCGAGGACCCAGCCGTCCAGAGCACCGAGGTCCGGAATCTTGAAATACGGATAACACTCCTTGAAGGTCGTGCACCGACCGATTTCGCCTTTCGAAGTCAAGCAAGTCTCGCGAGTCGTGGCTCCGTTCCAAAGAATGCCCCGACCCTCCCTCGATCCGAATTGATCGATTGCGGCTGTAAAAAAATTGAATTTTCACATAACTCGTTTATATTTTTCTAAAGTAGAAGGTAAAGCACATTTCTTTTTGGAGATAATTCCTATAATATATTTATTATAATTAATGTACTGTCTATCTCTCCTTTTTTTCAATTTTTTGACATAGTCTGTCATTACCGTCCATTTATGATATTCTGTCACGCTGATCATGCGTTATCTTGAAAATTTCAGCGAGATTTATTCAGGTATGTTGCTTCAATCTTTACCCGTTAAAATGTCCGTATGTTATCATGTTTACCATCGTAGAATCAGGATGCACCGAGCATGCTTATCTCAGCACGTACTCAAGAATGCTTATGCTTTAACATGTAGATGCATTAATGTCCGGATACATTAATATACATGACGTGAGTGTTTTTCTGATGTCAAGCAGAACTAGAAAAAATTGCGATAAAATTATTGGAACGTTGCCCTTTAATTTAAATTTAATTTGTCGTCCGCAAAAGCTTAACAGTTTATTGCACTGACAATTATCTACATGACGAATATAAATTGCATAATTAATTGAAAATTAATTTAAAAGTATAGACAAATTTTTAGAATTTGCCCGTTACAAATTTTTTGTATTAAATTATTACGTTGTCAAGATGAACAACTCAGTACATACATACAATGTTTGTTATGTATGCAATGACCGATCGATCATGAAACTGAAAAGTGTGTAAAAGTAAAAAGAAAACAGATACTTTTTAAGAAACGTTTTTCTTACGTTGCTCTTTTTGCATCAATGAAAAGTTGCATCAATAGAAATTGCATACGAAAGCGAAAAATTTATTTTTAATACTGTCAGCTGCGTGAAATTTGTTTTGCGCGGTGAATAATCGAAACATCATAATAGAATTCCATCGAGATACTTAGCAGTGAGTTCGCTGACCTACGTGAGGCACAAGATATACACGTACATCGAAGGTGATGTTTGTGCGCGCCGGGAGAACTTCCGGTTGCCATGTATGGGATGTGCGAATGATTATTTGATTTTTTATATGTATTGCATCTGTTAGATTTCCTGATATTATCGACCAAGAAAACAAAAATTCGATACATAAAAAGTCGATCGTTGATCAACAAAAAAAGTCACACAGAAGTCGCACGATTGTTGTGTTCTTGATTAATGACTAATCAAAATAATCGATGATATAACTTAAAAAAAAGAACAAATTTTTGGGATATAGGTAATTATACGTGAGATGTAAAAGAGAATAGAGATGCATCGATTTTTTTTATTAATATGATATTTAAAAATATCTGCGTAAAAATTGAGCTATTTTAATTTTTGAGAAAACAAAGACCGTGGAATTTAAAAAAATTCTTTAATTTAAATTTTGATTAAAAAATATATCTTGTTATATATTATTTCAAAGTTTTAATTAATTAAAATTAAGAAACTTAGATAGCAGAATAATACTAAAAAATAAAAAAATATTCTGTAGGTGTCTTCTCCGTCAATGATTAATGACAATTAGAAAACTTTTCGCGTTATTATTTAAAATTAATCTTAATTTTATATCTACATCGTTTTGCTAAGAAATTGATCCACCAAATTTCTTGACTTGTAGTTTTGAATTAAAATTATCGAAACGCGCATTGTGGAATGCCGAATAAGTAGATGCAGACGAGCGTGTGTCACGAGAGTCGAAAATTAATCGAAAAGTGCATATGAGAGATTTTATATGAAACTGTACTTGAAATCGATACCAACCTTCGACGACGACGGTGTTGTCATCCTCCTCCGGGTGAACGTCGTCGAAGTTCAGTGATCTAGACAGGGGTTCGACGGCCGCCGCGGATACGATCGTCGCGATCACCTGCACCACGAGCACCAGCACCAGCATCGCGAACGGCGACGGTCTGCCCGGTGGTCGATTATTCATACTCCGAGTTGCCAGAATTGTATTACGTGCAAAGAACTCAAGGTGCCGCGAGAAGAGACAACGAACGGTGCGCGGGAGCACGGGACTTACAGGTCCACGTGCGCGAGAATCACCGGCAGGGAACCTGCCGACTCCACTAGGCCGCCTAAGCTGCTGAATAGCCGCTGCTCGAGCTTATAACGGGCTCGCCCTCCTCCTCGATACAACGCACGAGGTGTTCTCGCGCACCTTTCTTCTCTTGCTCTTTTATCATCCTCTCGATGGCCGCAGGGTAAAGGATAGGGCTCAGACGGTAGGGAGGATAGACGGTAGAGATCAGACGAGGTCTCCTCGCGGTGATGTACAAAATAATCGTTTCAGTTATTTATGCTCCGATGCGCGCAAAGTGGATTGATTCTATCGCGAACAGAGAATTGATTTAGAGCAACTGGGATGTGCTAGGAATTGTCTCTGCTCTTTAATTATACCTCTAAAAACCGTATATATAGAAATTACTTTAAATTATAATTAAAATGAAATTGAATTCTGCTATATTTTATTATTTGGATATTTTTTTCTTATTTATAATTTAAAATTATAAGTAAAATATTGTAAATGTACTTGTTATATATATATATATATATATATATATATATATATATACTTTAAAATTCTTACAGTTTTATTAATGCTAAAGAAATAATTTTATTATATAATATATGATTTTACAAATTGTAAGTGCCATTGTGGGTGAAAAATAACATTATATATATATATATATATATAAAAATATATTACATATTATTATATGTATAATAATTAAAAATTATATATATGTATATAAAAAGACAATCTTCTTTCTATTTTACATTATGATATTCTCATATAATTTTTTACAACAATAAATATTTTGCAATGTAACATTAATTTTTATACAACTTATGCTTGAAGCAAATTTTTCGGGAGATATTCGTGAATTATTCTGACCATGTAATGCGTCGACGCTGACGTCCATTTGTGAATGGGATTTAAGTTATCTTGATTATGTAAGCTGTATGATGGAACCGGATCATGCTTGATCGGTCTTTGATCGCGCGGTTTGTGTTCAACTCGAACGCCGCGCAATGGCATTTGCATAGAGAGCACGATCCTTCGCATCTTGGCCTTGAAGATGCCAAGAGAAGGTTGCATATAAGGGACGGCCGTGAACTTGCTTACCGCGTGATCCCCGCCTTCTGGTCTCTATCTCGACGCTACGTACTTACGCATTTCCTTCCGCCGACGGCGATTATAGAATCGTCTTTTTCCCTTATGATGATCTTTTCTTTATATACTCTAAGCTACCTCAGTTCTTAACTCAAGCTTATTGCACTCGTGCCATTCATCTAACAGCGTTGTGCAATAATATTACGTATATTTTAACGTAGTGTAAAGTGATAAAAAAAATTATAAAAAGATACTCATTAGATTAGTAATCTAAGAAATAATAATGGATGCTTTTATATGAACTTTATATGAAGTGTCTCACGAGCTGAAGCGAATGAAACGTACAAAATATTTTATTACATTTGCACGTATCGTAGGCAGGTCTTTCGCTAGAAACAGTCCATTGGAATGAGATCTTCGATCTTTCGCGGAGGTATAAACAGTACCTTCCGCAGGAGAGCGAAGAGCGGAGGACCTTGAAGTGTACGTCAGGATCGCGATACCTAGGTCGACGAACCCCATTCCAAAGGGTGGAGGGAGGAAGAGAGATTTTAAGTTCGTGCGTTCTTTGACCGTGCATTCTTTGAACGGTTAATAACCACTTACTGTCGACATCTCGGAGAGATAAAATCTTTTTTTGTTGTCGCTCGCGAAACAGGGCTCGGTAATCGATAAAGACAGCGGGTTAGTGTCTAACTCGCCAAACCGGACTTTGTGCCGAAAATATACGCGTATTACCAAGGTCCGGTGATGGGTAGCGATCGTGGGTGGATCTCGTAACTTTATTTTGTGTGTCTACCGTTTATACAACCGTGTGTCAAATTTCGTAATGTTTACATTTATTATCGACATAAAATTCTCATCAGAACGCGAGAGTCTAACAAGAAGCGTCTTTTACTACGGAAGTTCAATGTCTTGTTCAAGTCGTTGACCTATTATTATGAGAACGTCATGCGACGTGTATGCTGAAAATTTAACATACGTAAAATTGAGTTCAAGATTTTGTACTGACGCCACTGTAGTATTACTGGACCTCGTTGGTGAAATCCTTCCTCCGAAACGTGCAAACCGGTTGGGTCGGGATTACTCGTAATTAACTGAGAGATATCGAAGTCGTTTGTTGCGGTTCTAACGACGTCATTTGAAAGGAAGGGTCTATGAAAGGGAAAAAAAGTTATCTGTACATATGTTGACAGACAGATAAATAAAATTAAAGAAGCATAAAGTTACAAACATAGTTAAGTTTTGATTGATGAAAATTGATAAAAATTCATTAATTCTTACTTATCTAAAAAAATCCTCAAGGTGAATACACCTAATAATGTTTTAGTGTGTAAACATAGAGTACTTCGTGAAACCGGTCATGAATGATAATATTACGATCGAAAATTTCCTTTCATTCATTTCCTTCTTTATGTTCTGTTACTACTCCTCATGACGCGATATAACGGAGTAGATAATAAAACGGTTTCACTTTCATAACGTCATAAAAGTTATACGCATCATTGCTTATGAATATATTGAGTCATTGAATCCTATTATATATTTAAAAATCTTATTGCTTAGAAATCATAATTGATTCCTCTGTTAGATAAGATGTTTACGACGGTGAATTGAACTATATATAAACTATACATACTTTTATTCTATATATATATAAACGTAACAGTAATTATTGTAGATTGAGCCGGTATTATGCAAAGAATTCGATACCAGTTTAAAATATTAACGGCATATCAATTCAAATTTATTATACAGCTCTGGGGCCTTAAATCTTTTTATAGTGTTTATTAATATTGATTTATCATCTTTATGCGTGGTTATTTGTTGACATTCGCGTTGATACAGCAAGCAAAACCTGTTAATTTAAAAAGCAGATCTAACCATGTATACGTCAGCGTGTGTGTATCAGGGAATATTGAGAAATTCATTATCATTCGCCGATGAGTGAATGTTATTGATCATTTCTTGGGAAATAAATATCTTGAAGAATTGTACCGAGTCGTGAAATTTGCGAGGAAATAATTCCTTGAAATAATATGCAAAGAATTTTTGGCACACTTTTGAAGAACGTTTCTGCTCGGAACTTCTTCTTTTACGAGAATAAATTTAAATTTTATCCTATTTACTCTTTATAAATAGAATAAAATTTGAATTTGAATTCTCGTAAAAGAAGAAGTTCTAAGCAGAAACGTTCTTCAAAAGTGTGCCAGAAATTCTCTGAGTATATTCATAGATTGGTTCCGTAAAATATACATTGTACGCAACCGATCGACATATGTGTTCCTATCGCGCGGGGCAAAACAGAGAACAACACAAATACTACGCCTAAGAACTATAATTCACGTCAGGGCCAGTGACCCTACAAGGTCTTGGATTCTCGCACGATTGCCACGATGCTTACATACACACCAGCTGACTTCTAGCCGACGATGATAGCCGCCTGACTAAGTCGCGCTGTAACCACTTACACTCTCCGTCTCCCTGTCCCTTCTTGTGTCCGAGGAAATACGCAAGCTGCATCCCGTAATCAAGGCGCCAATTAATTCCCCTCTGTAGTTTTTATTTGCAAACTGTGATCAGGCTCCCGTATCTCAGAGTAATGTGAGGAGATTCTTACTTTAACGAGTATTTGAAGCTTCTCTCTTTTGAGAAATAAACCATCAGAGTTTTTACAAAAGATAGATACATAAATTTAAAAAATGTTTGACCAGAATTCTTTCGAAAAATTATAAATTTTTAATATAGATCTGTCAATTATTTTTAGTAGATCTATTTCTAATAAGAAAGTATTTTTCTATAAAATTTATTATAAAAATTGCAGAATTTAAATTCTTTATATTTCATATTATGGAAAATTTACTAAATTCATTATTAAGAGATCGTTTAATTTTTGGCGAGTCTGTATTTATAAGTTGAAATTAATCGGCTACCTTCTTATTGACGATCGCGTCGTAATTGTTATCGGATTCATGATTGATCGGGATTAAATGTAATCCCCCTGTCATCGAAGTCGAATACATATCATTCAGATCACGTTCCGTTAGTCGATTTGGCGTGGGATAACGTCGCACGCTTGTTTCGTGCTAATCGTACTGGATGTGTCATGTCAGGCTTTTTCGGATAAGCGATTCCATCGAAGTGTCTGTTGGAGAGACACGGCTCGTTAAGGTACGTCAGCCGTGAAATGCGCGCGGACCCTTCTGAAAGCGGCCTGACGTTCTTCGCAGCGTCGCTGATTTTATGGTGCACTCCCTTCGTTCTTTCTCTAAGACGTGGAATCTTCTTTATCTCTCCTTATGGGTTTCCACGCTCGGAATTCCCTTTTTTTCCTTTTGAATTCCTCGCCAACAGGTTTCCTTCGGGTGCTGCATCGCAATCGCCTCAGCGCTGCGTGAAACGAAATAAAGCGAGAACCCGTAACTTTTATAGCAGTAATGACGAGAACAATGAAAAGACTCGACTACTATTTTCTGTGATTGTATTAGATTCTTCAATTTTTCGAATCTGTTAAAAGCACTTGCTCATTTGTATACGATTATATTTTATATGTATTTTTTTTGTTGATGGGCGAACAAAATTGCTTAAGACGTTTTTAAGCGCGCATGAATACGTATCAGATTTATTATGTTAATATAATCTTTTTTTATCTTGCGTATATATATCGCGGAACTCTGTGAAATGGAATGAGGCATTGAATCATACTTATGCTAATGAGGACTCCGGAGAAACGAATTACTATCATACGTCATCAAATCGATGAATACAGAAATGATTGATGTTGCGATACGGAAGATGTATATGTGAAAATATGTGTGCGAAACGTGATTATATAACATCAGTACCTTGAAACGCGAGAACGAACAATATCAATCTATCATTTGAAGATAAAAGATAAATATTTCAACTAGTTTTCTTCGTTTTAGATAACTTCACGTCTCTTTCCTCTCTGTGTATTCTTATCATCATTTATTTAATTTTCTTAATTATCTTATGTGATATGTGTAATAAGAACTAAAAAAATATATTGT